ACCTGTGGCAGTTCCTCATGCTTTTGCAGACGGAGAGACACGCTGCACACCAATTGGGCAGGAAGTCACTTCCCTCAGCTCAAATGCACACAGAAGATAGGGTCTGGCCTGGAATCGGGAGGCAGCTGAGCCCGGCACCTCTCTGGGCCTCAAGTTTCCTCACTTGTAGAGGCTATTAGCAGGTGATGGGACAAGGTGTTCTTCTGTCCTCCAAATCACAGGCTCTCTGCTGAGCTCTATTCCCAGAGCAGCTTGCTGCACCCATGCTGCCCTAAGAGATGACGAGGGACCCAGAACCAAGCTCGGGGTGGATAGGTGGGGGCATGCTTGATTTATGGTGGCCGGAGATGTTGAAGGACCAAGAAGGGGACAAAAAGAAGCCTGCTGAGGTCGACATCGTCTCCAGCTACTGGGAGATCAGAGCAGGTTAGCGACTTACCAAGGTCCTACTCACTGCCAGAAAGGGACCCTGTGGCCCTGCATCTGGTTCCTGAGGACTCTCAGAGCCATTAACCCACTGCTGTGAAGGATGTGGCTGTGGGACTGAGGCCTCCAAGTCAGCCCCAGGGCCACCCAGAGCAAGCCCCCAGCAACCTGCGGCTCTGGAATTTCAAGAGGAAGACAGCGAGCCCCAGGAACGTACTCTCACTGGGAGGGCCCACAAGCCAAGGCAGTTCACGTGCATTCTCTCAACATGAAACCACCAGCCCATTTTGCAGGCAGGAAATCCAAGGCCCATAAGTTCATTTACTTTCTCCAAGTCTACTCTGCCAGTGAACGGTGAAGTCCAAGCCAGCTTGACCTGGGCAGCTGGGTCTCCATTGTAGCCTCTATCCGGGGTGGTGGGATATTGGTGATGGGGTATTTTGGAAATTGTGGATGAGAAAGCTATTTACTCGTGTGTGTGTGTGTGTGTGTGTGTGTGTGTGTGTGTGTGTGTCTTCAAGACCAGCAGGGCTGTGCCATTACTTCACTGGCCAGCCTTCTTAAGAAGCTCCACTGCCATGCAGGGGCAGGGCTGGGAAAGAAGCTGGCCGGAGGGTGTGCCGGGCAGGGAGTGCAGCCATTCAGCAGCCCTGCTGGGGGTCGAGGCTGCAAGGCTCACGTATGGCCCTGCGGCCTCAGGAAAGTTATCAGGGGGCTCATGACCTCAGATATGCCCCCACCAGGGGACGAGAAGCCCGCTCCCTGCTGATAGACTGCAGTGAACAGCTAGCCCCACCCCCTTCCCATCCTGTGAACCTTTATTATTTCTTGCTCCTGGCTGTCAGCAGCAACAAACTAAGATTAATCACTCGCCTGGCCTGCCTGGACCCAGACATGCCTACTGTTTGAAAACTCTTTCACTATATAAATCAATGGGGGAGTAGAGAGGAAAGAAGAACAACCTCAGCTCCAGTGCCCTCACCTTGCCTGCCCCAGTACCCCTGGAATGCAGCCCATCAGCCCTTCCCAGCCCCCAGACCCCTTCTTCCCCTGCCTCCACTGGGGCCCCAAGCAGCATAAGCTGGGTAAAACTGGGTGCCCACCAGTCAACACGCCCCCTGTCAGTTCTAAGCAGACATATATGGGCACTATGGAGGCAACTTGACAGAGACCTTGAAACAGGTAGCCAGCTTAGGACTGCGCCCCAAACCCTCATCATACAGGCAGAAGATCCCCACCCCCAAGTCACTGGCCTAGCAGACACTGGTCAGATGCATTCCAAGGCGCCTTCTAGAGGCCCAGGGAGCTGGGAGGGGCAGGACCAGCACCTGCCCTGCACACATCAGGTGCACACATCACCTAGCAAGCTGCGTTACTCGTCACAACAGCCTAGGAAAATGGCTAACACCCCCGCTTCCCAGGCAATGTGCAGAGGTACATCTTGTGCTTAGCACCTCACAGCAGGTAAGCACCAGGTCAGGATTCAGATCTTCCCCATCCAGCCTTCGGGACAGCGCTAGGTCTGCATGCTGGGCTAGAGGGATGGTGGGGCTGTGACGTTCTGAGGGTGTCATCGGACTCAGTTCAAGCCCTTAGATTCTGCCAGCTTTGCAGGGTGAAGCCCAGTCCCCTGGCTAGGCCACTCCCAGGCTCAGGAGAGGGCTTTCTTACTGTCCTTGTCCAAGCTTGGCTGTGGGCCCTGCTCTGGGCCCTTCCAGCCTCGCTGCCCTCTCCACCCTCACCCTCCACGCCCTGCAACACCCTTTTCAGGTCCCTTTCCTGGTTCGAGGCCTTGGTGCTGCTGAGTGATGGTTCAGAGGGAGCCTGTGTGGCTGAGCAGAACTCTCCCCCAGGGAGCCCAGTCTGCAGTCTTCTGGGCTGCACACTGTACAAAGCAGATGGCCGACCTTTCTCCGGCAGAGCTGCTCTGCTTGGTGGGTTTGAGCAAGTGCTTAACTGTCTGTGCCACCAGGCTCCTTTCTTCCACAGAGCAGCCCTAACCCACTTTCCATTAGCACGAGAGTCCCCGTGTGCCGATACTGAAGGCCAGAGTCAATGCCCCATGGGAACAGACCAGGCTCCAGTGCGTCTCGGAAGCCAGTGAAGGTGAGTTTGCCTGCAGTGCCTCTGGGGACTGAAAAGAGGTGGACAGGGCTATGCCCTGTAATAGCTCGCCCTCCCTGGCTGTGGTTTCTGCCAAGGCCGAGTACCACTTGCCTCAGCCCCTCTGGGCGCCTGTCTGATGAAGGCAGAGCCGAGCACTCTCCCTCTTCTGGTGCAGACCCCTCTGTAAAAAGACATGAGGCTAGACCTCGTGCAGAGCCCTCTACAGCCCACAGGCCCGAAGAGTCCTTTTATGAGACTTCTCAGGGCTCTCACTCCTTTCTCCCACTGCCCGCCTCTCCAAAGACAGGAAACTGTCTTAGGAGTGTGACATGTTTTGCCAACTTCTTTCTAAAGGATGAGGTCAGAATTATGGCACACAGGGGCCAGTGCTGGGTGCCTTTGGGGACAACCCCCACAACGGGAAGCAGCCACCAGCTCTAATGCCAGCTGGACAGCCTTAGTCCAGTCACAAGTCCCCTCTGGGTCTTGTCTCTCCATCTGCAGTTCAGGGACAGAGCACAGGTGTGACATCTGTGATCTTCTAACTGGATGTCAGGAAGCCTTGAAGGGTGGGGGCAGGCCTTGGGCAGGTGACTGAGGTCCCACACCTAAGGGGGGAAGAGGGGGCTCCTCCTGCCCTCATCATGTGCCCCAGGGCACGTATGCAAACTGTAAAGTGCAGTGGATAGATGTAAAGGGGTTCAAGTATGGGCTGGGTCCCTGTGCTCAAACTGAGTTTCCCTGCGCCCCCCATGTGGGTCACACAAGACCTGCTAAGCCTTTCCCACATCTTGGGAGGGTCCCCCTCCCGAGATGTACCCCCCTTAACCATCTCTGCCTGGGGACCCTGTCCCCTCTGTAAGGCCCATGTGCACATTCTTCTGGCAGTTTCACCTGCCCACACACCCACCCCCGGCACTCCCACTCCGAAACCCAGTGCACAGGCTGGTACAGGGGGCTGAGAAAAAACGCTGAAGGAAGCGTGGCCAAGACTGAGCTGCTTCTCACACACCAGGGGCCAGAGGCGGCGCGGCAGCATAGCTGGAATTCCCGCATCTGTCTGCGCCAGGCAGTGCCACCCAGCCCCACAGATGGTGGCCAGCAAAAGCGGGGCCAACCCCAGTAAAGGGACAGTCAGGGCTGTGCTTCCTGGTGGTTGTGGGACTGGTCAATGGGAACAGGACTGTGGGGAGGCAAGCCCACCTCTCCTTCCTCAGTCTGATGCCCCAGTCCCAGGTCAGCCCAACCCAGTGCCCCCTGCCCAGCTTGGCCTCTCTAAGGGAAAGTAGGTCAGGTGAGGCTCCTGGGGTAGGGGTTGGGGAGAGTATGCAGAACGTCGAGTGTCTGGCTCCCATGAGTGAGACTAACATTCAAGTCATGCCACTGGTCTGCAGACTAGGCAGGACCCTGGACCAGACAGCAGGGTTTTCCCCTGGGTCCTGGCAAAGACTCCAGGGTGGTATCCCCAGTCCCTCCCCTGACTGGGAGCACTGGAGGGCAGAGGGCAGCTTGGCTTAGCTCACAGAAGGGGCGAAATGGGACGTCAGGGGCAACGGCAGCCTTCATGACCATCAATTCCCACCCCCTAGGCAGGCATGGATGCTGTGGCCACTGTGAGCAGCAGGACAGACTCCAGCCCGTAGCTCTGAGATTGAGCTTCAGACTGCAGGGCCGGCTGACCAGGGTGTGGGGGGCAGGCCACCATCACTGAGGGCTCTGCTGCCTGCAGCTTGAACGTCCATCTGTCAGCCGCCCCTCCGAGGTGGTCCTACTGACCAGGAAATGGCACAAAGCAGGGGTGGGTAGGGAGCTGGGCTCTGGGGCTGTGACAGGAGCCTGCAGAGTACCCTGGGCACGGCCCCTCTGCAACTGCCCCTTGGTGAAGCCTGTGCCTGGCTCACCTCAGCACACTGCAGCAGGCCGGGCTGCTGGAGGCACTGCAGGGTCTCACAGCACTTGCCCAGGGACAGGGGCCTGTGTTTACCCCCTGCCCCAGCACCAACTCTGTCCTTGGGAGAGCCTGCCTTCTCTGGCCTCTTCTTCCTATCTGTAAGATGAGTTTTACACACTCTTTCCGGTCCCATTTGCTAACTAAGCCTGGGCCCGTCCATCCCATGGGTCAGGAAGGCCAGTGGCTAAGAAAGTGGCCATAGGCACATATACCAGCAGAGACTTTCCCACAGCCAGGACCTTCCCACACCAGTGCCACCCGCAAGGCCAGGCCAGCTGGCCTCCAATGTTGCCTGGACCCCCTTTGAGCCTCAGTTTTCTCATCTGGACAGTGGAGAGAATCCAGTCCTCACCAGGGGAGTGGGGAGGGCCGAGGCCTACACACACACAGCCAATACAGAAGCCATTCTTGGTCACTTAAATGCAAATCCTAGCTGAAAGCACCCCTCCCCCTCCCCCTATAAGCCCTCCTGGATCCCAGGGGAGGAAGCGGCAGGGCCTGGCGGAGGCACACTCACTTCAGGGAGAGCGAGTAGTCATGCTTGCTCGTCTGGCTGTTCCGCACCAGGTAGCTGCACTCCTTGCAGAGGCGCAGCAGGCTCTCCGCATCGCTCCTGCTGATGGCTCCGTGATACCATCTGGGGGAAGGAGGAGATGTGTCAGCACCAGCAGGGCAGCTGGCCCACAGCCCGGACACCCTAGGCCTGCCCCTCCCAGAGTGGCCAAGAAGCTGCCCCTGAGCAGGAAGAGGCTGAAGTTTTGTGCCACCATGCAGCTCCCACTGTGCAGGCAGCCCCCCAAGGGCCCCTGTGGATTCCCTGGCAGAAGGCCCAAAGAGGATATATACAGGTGTGAGCCTCTGCAGCTAGCCCCTGGTGTGACAAGAGGCAGCCGCTGCCCCAACTGGGTGACCCTTGAGGGCTGGGCTAGCACTGCCCTACAGGGTCTCCAAATGCCACAGAGCAGCCGGGGGACTCTGAATGCCAAAGCACTGTGCTACCAGGGCCCTCGTCTAATTCTAACCTGAAAACCAACAAAATCCCGTTTTAGCAAACAGGGTTGGGGAGGAGGACTGCTGTCACGGAGAGCAGCATTAACTGCTGCCCAACGGGAATGTGACCAAACCCCTCACTGTAGAGCCGGACACCCGATGTCCAGAGGGGGAGCAGCGAAGGGCAAAGGCAGGGAGTGAGTGCAGAGCACGGGGTCACCTTCCTCTGGAAACTGCTGTAGACATAGAGAGACAGTGACGTGCGGGCGTGTAATAAAACTGCTTCAGGGACACTAAGGCCTGGGCATTCGCTAGAAAGGACAGGCCACTGCAATCCAAGGTGGAAGGGAGAGACCCGAATTTGGGGAAGGCTGTTTTCCAGGACTCATAACGACTCTCCAGGACAGGGTAGAACTGCCTTTGTAGGTTTCTGAGACTGTCAATCTTTACTGGAGTAGGAAGCTCCATCTTTCTCCCAAGGAGTGGCTGGTGGATTTGAACTGCTGACTTTGTGCTTAACAGCCAACACGTAGGAATGGACTCAGTGGCAGGGAGTTTGGTTTTTGAGTTTTTGACTCTCCAAGAAATTTCACCTTTCAATGAGCTGGCAAAAACATCGTTTCATACGGAAAACAAGTTGGGGCACTGAAGCTGAGCCATCCTCAGGGGACGGCTATGAAGGGTTCTCTAGGGAAGTACTGCTGGCCGCTGCTCTGCCCGAGAGCGTAGCAGTAAATCCAGGGGAGGCAGCGCCGGAGGGCCCCCGGGGGCCTGTTATGAATAATCCCTGGTGGGGAAGTAAGATCCGGTTCCTGGTTCCTTTCTCGGCTGCCTGGCTACCGCACACAGAGAAGGGCCAGGATGTGGGGTCAAAGGAGAGCTAAGCAGAGGGGCTACTGGTGGTTCTGTGGGGCTAGCCATCAGCCACCAGGCCTGAGAAGGAGCTATCTGTTGGAGAAGCCAGGCAGGAAGTCCCCAAGAGAAAATGCTGGGCTGGACCACGAGCAGCTGGCCAATCAGAGCAGTGGCTCAGTGACTGTTCACCAAGTATGTCCTTGTTCCCACGGGGCAAAGAGCTGGAGGCACCAAGGCAGTGACACGTGCCGTACAGCAGCAGAGCTGGTAAGTGACTAGGGCGGGAGGCAGGAGTCCTGATGTCACAGTGGTTAAGTGCTTGGCTGCTCACAGTGGTTCGAACTCGCATCCACGATGCGAGAGAAAGAGGACACTATGGGGCAGTTCTACTCTGTGCTATAGGGCTGCTGGGAATTGGGTAATCTTGATGAGAAGGGCTCTCGGGTGGGAGGAGGTGACTGCATTAGAAGAAATGGGGGGGAGTCCCCTACAGAGATGACATTTGACCTGAGACCTGTATGACGTGGAGCCAGTCAAAAACAGTTAAAGCCTTTCTGCAGAGCAAACAGCATGTGCCAAGATCCAGGGGTAGGCACGAGCTTGGGTTGTATACACAGCAGGTTTGCAAGAACGGCCCGAGCGTGGGCTGCGGCGCCTGGTGAAGGCACAGCAAGAGGCAGTCTGGGGGCCGAGGGGCGCATAGCAGGGGCCATGAGGAGTTCCACACAGGGATGCGACTCACCCTTGATGACCTCATGAAAGACCAACCAGGGGCTAGAGGGGCAATGAGGACACCGGGTAGGAGGCTGCTGCCGTGGTCCCCATGGAAGGGAATTCTGGCTGTATCTGGAGAAGCGCTGGTAGGGCATGCTGATAGTCGTGGGTGTGAGGTGAAAAGATGGAAGGAGCCCCCAGGCAGGTGCGATGCTGTCCTGAGTTGTGGGCATAGGGGGAGCAGTGGGTTTAGAGGAAAGGGCCAGGAGCCCGCTAGGACAGAGAGCCCCCGCCTTCAGCCAGGTGGACATGCCAAGCAGCAGCTGGGCGTAGGGGTGGGGGTGCTGGGACATGCAGTGTGGGCCTGTAGTTGGATACGCAGCCCTGGAAGTCTCACCTCAGGTCTAGCAGAGGAGGAGCCAGCACAGGGAAGCAGAGCAGGAAGCAGATATGGTGGGAGAGGAACAAGTGGAGGTGAGGGCAGGCAGAAAACAAGGTTGCAGCTCAAGAACATGCTCATTCACCCCACAGCTACTTCCTGAGCACCTCTTAGGAGCCATCAGAGCCCTGGTGGAATTGGGCTGCTAAGTGCAAGATTGGAGGGTTCAAATCCAGCAGCTGCTCCAAGGGAGAATGATGAGGCTGTCTGCTCACGTATGGATTTCCAATCTCAGAAACTCTAAGGAGCATTTGTGTTTTACAGGGTCGCTAGGGTGGTATCAACTAGATGGCAGTGGATTTGTCCATTGTCTGGTGCATTAGGTGTCAGGCCCTGTTCTAGGCACTAGGAGCGTAGTGAGGACCCAGACACATTCCTGTCCACAGAGGGGCAGTGGCTAGAGCCTGGGGAGACTGGGCCGACACCATCTCTCCATTCACTCCCTTTAAACACCGTGAGGATCAAGAGCACTGCTGGTCATGTGGAGGCAGGAGGGAGGGGCTGGGGTCGGGGCTGCCCCGGGCAGCGCATACCAGCCCAGAAGGGAAGGCAGGTGTTCTGGGCACCCAGCCAGGCATGTGGCTTCCACCCAATAACCCAGTGAAAGTGAGGCCTGTGGTACTGTGCTGGAGCCCCACCTTCCCTGAACCAGGCAGGGCAGCGCAGACTAGGAAGGTTCTCAGGATCCCCCAGAGGTGAACTTGACCTCATCTTGCCTCTTGGTGAAGAGAAGATAGGGAGGAAATGCTGGGGGGCTGCTCTGGACTTGGCCGAGGGTCCTGTCAGAGGCCCTTCAAGGGCCTAGCCTCTCAGACTGAGGCCTGCCCGGCCAGGGAAGAGGAAGAACCCGGCTGAGTCAAAGTCCTGGCTGTGCTCGGTCAGGATGCCTGGGAACAGCCCAAGGCAGCTGGCCTCATATTTTGTTTGTTGATGAGAAAGCGCACCCTTTGATCAGAAATAAGCAAAACCTGCCATCCAATCTGCGTGGCTGTGGGAAGTGATTAAGAGGACACCTGCTGGGAGGGTTCCCGGCATGCTTGGTACCAGGCGGGTCAGCCTCCATAGATCTCAGCATATGCTTTCCTTTGGAAAGTCCTGCATCCTACTCATGGGTCAGCATTTCCTGTGAGGGGACGCACTGCTGGGCCAGGACCAGAGCCCCCATCAGGGGCCATTACAGGCCACGCGGAGTGGGCATGACCCCCAAGGAGCCGGCTCCACAGAGGCCTGTGCTATGGCAGGTGTGCTCAGGGTGGGGAGAGAGTGAGAGTGAGGGAGAAATAGGAGTGTGTGGAGTGTGTGCTGAGCCTACCCTCTGAGCCAGAGTCTTCATCTGAACAGTGAGGAGATGGTGTGCTTTCTCACACGTATGCTTGCTAAGAGGATGAGCCACACCTCAAAGCACAGCACACCACCGAGTACCTGCTTCACCAGGTGCCTGGGCATCAAGAGCAGCCTCTCACTGCGGTCCAGATGGCCAGGGCAAGTGAGAAACTGGCAAACCCAGTTGGTCAAGCTTAGAGCGAAGAGCAGCCTGGGAGACTGAACCTGGCTCTGGAAGCGATTCAGCTGGGCTGAGTGTGGAGGCAGGAGCTTTTCTGGAGGTGAAGACCATTATGGGAGTGGGAGGTGGGGGTGATGGGCCGGCAAAGCAGAAGAGGAACCGAGAACCCCCACCCTACAGGTGTACAGGCTTTTGCCCAACTAAACTCCAGCAGCTGTGGAGCAAACCAATCAGGATGAGACAGGGCTTAGGCCACACTTGGCTTTGTAAGAATTCATTGGCTTCGAGATGAAGTTTGAAACAAGGATGTAAGAGGGAGGGGTGAGTGGAGTGGTATGCTGTTGGCATCCAAAGGCAGGGAGGAAAGGGGTGCAGGGCACAGGCTTAGGGCCAGGGCTCAACAGGGTGGGTTCCAGTGTGGGTTCTATCCCCTACCACCTTGCTTGAGGCACCGACCTCAGACTAAACCCCAGACAAAACACTCAGCACATTCGAGTCCAGTGCGTGAACCAGATAGGGCTCTGGAAGTTGTGTCTCTTTACTGAGGCTACTACTAAGGTGACCAGATTTTAACATTGGTAAAGCGGGACACCATTGATAAAACTCATATCCTGCGAAATAGCCACATGGCAGCCGAAAACCATATACCCTAGCTTGTCGTGCATTCTTTCAAAAAATCGGAACTTTTTAAAAATGCCACGGGAAAAATTGTTAAAAAGCGGGATGTCTGGTCACCTTATACTAGCCCCAATTTTCTCCCGGGGAGGGGCTGGTGGGTTTGGTTAGCAGTTTGATTACCAGGACTAAAAGGGCCCTTTCACTGCCATTCTCTGGGCCTGAGTTCTTAAAGCGAGGAAAAAAGAGCAGAGACAGAATGGTCGGGGGTGGGGTGTTGACTGCTGAGTACTGCTCTCGGTTGAACTTACATCTGCTTCTCCAGGGGCACAGTCGGGTCCACTCTTTCTCCCAGGATCCCACAGAACTCGGGGCTCCCATGTTTGATGGGCTTGAAGCCCCCTCCGGGAGCTCGAAGCTGGCGCCGTCGGTCCCGGGAAGGAGAGGGAGATGCTTGCCGCTTGTCGGTGCCGTTGAATTGGGCTGTGGGGAGAGAGCGGGACAGCACTGTTACCCTGAGGGAGCTCAACCCAGAGGTCAGTGGTCGTGTGGGAGGGGTTTGGATGTCCTAGTTGGAGCTTCACAATTTGCCAGAAGCTGCTCCAGGCAATGGGAAGACCACCGATCAAAAGCTTCTTTCTGTGGCAAGGGAGGAACCAGGTGCACTGTAAGCTGAGTCTAGGGCTCCACTGGCTAAAAATCTGAGTGGACAGTTCTATTGCCTGCAGCAAACCTCCTCCTGTACACAGTGAGACCAGGGTGTGGAGCAGAGAATGCTGACTTGGGGGGGGAGGGGGACCCACATGCCTCAGCACAACCTACAAGGCTCTCCAGGATGACCCCCAGCTTCCAGCCAGCCCACTTCATGCCTCCCTGGGGGCACCTGCCTCGGAACGAGCCTTCCTATCACACAAATAGCCATGGCGCCCCTCTTCTGTTTAACCTAAATCTCCATTGGAGCAACTCCATTTGCTCTTCAGGGGTCACCTGCTCCAAGAAGCTTTCCCTGACTGCAATTCCTCCTGACTCACCTTGCTCTCAGACCCCGGGCCCCATGGCACCCTTGTCTGTGCCTGTGCCCGTGCCCGGCCTCAGTATTGTGCCTGCGACAGAATGGGTGCTCAAGATCAGGACACTTAATGAGCTATTTTACTTTTTTGTGGGGGAGGGGATCAGTTTTCATAGCAGATAAACTGGATGAAACCTAATAACATCCTAGTCAACACTGTAATTCCCTACTGAATTAATTTATACATTTACTTGCAGGCTTCTGCTGCAAGTTTAATAATATAGCTATGTATTTAAGAGAGAACAGGTGGTGATGAGTGACAGGTTTAATTAGGCAAATCATTTCACCTAAAATGAAAATATACAAATTCTAAGTGCCATGATTCAGCAGCAGCAGCAAAAAAAAAAAAAAAAAGGAACAAAAGCTCCAAACACAACTGCTTTCATTCCTTCTAATTAAGTTTTTCCTTAATCTGCAATTTAAAATGGCAATACTTCTAATTTAGTGATTTTTCTGTAAAAGATAAAGACACAATCCCTCACAAGACTACCAGCATTTAGAAAGAAGAAAGTAAGACACACACACACACACACACACACACACCACTACCACCAAGCCACCCCATGCATCGTTAAGAGTGATAGAACCTAATTATTTCGACCTATAAAACCCACTGCCATCGAGTAGACTCTGATGCATAGTGACCCTCTAGCACTTCAGTGACTGAGAACCTTCACGGGCGCACACAGACCCATGTTTCTCCCATGAATTCCACCTACAGGTATCAAATAAGAACTCGAGTCCTGAAGGAGGGCAGTGAGCCTCAGAGCCGGGCAAGCGAGGCCCCGGCTCTTTTGACTGTGGCTCTGTTGGGGAGGGGGTGGGGAACGGGGGACCCCAGTCAGATGCAGGAGCCGAGGCCTGGAGGCTGATGTCCTCTCGCTGCAGTCAAAGAGCTGGCCTCATTTTCCCTTTCTGCTCTGCCTGTCCACTCGCTCGCCCTCCAGTCGGCCTGTAAAACAGCCGCTCAGCAAATGTTTGCTTTGCATTCCCAGGACGCCAACAAGAGGCCTCTGTGTTCACCTCACAGGCACACGCAGGCCCTGGGGCACTGCACTGCCACCCGGGGTGGGGTGTCCAGGAACAGAGGTCCCCATTGTGTGGGGAGGCGAGGGGCAGGCCACTGGGAAGGCTGTCAGGCAGGCGCTGGGCCACAGCCGGGTTCCAGGAACGCTGTCCACACGTGCCTACAAGCCCGGACTGGGGGGTGAACCTGGGGGAAGGAGGCATGTCTCTGTGCTCCATCTGTGCATCCCCAGGTGCTGAGACTCCAGCCCAGGGGCTGTTGCTGGCTAGGGGAAACCTGATGATAACCCTGATGGAAATGACTCGATATCCTAAGTGCAGACACCTTCACAGCTGCCAGATCGAACCACCTGTGCTACAGAACAAACACCCAGTTCTGGAAAAAGCAGACTTGGATAAAGTCACCTTGGACTTGAACCCAGGATTCCTGGGTCCCGAGAGTCAAGTTCAGCGTCATCCAACCCACTGCACAAGCTGCTGTCAGAAACAGCAGCGACAGGAACGGTGACGCTAACACTGACGGCTAAGCTCTGCATGCAGGCGGTCTCTGGGGTGGGCCACACCACTGTCCAGCAACTTGCTCCAGTCACCCTGCCGGCATCAGACACAGGTATCATGCCAGACCTCCTGTCTTCAGCACTTGGCGCCTTGGACGGAACAAGTGGCCACCGCAGACAGATGGAGGAGGTCTGCTCCCAGGATGCGGTGTGTCTCCTGACAGCTTCCCTGTAGACAGCCAGGTCTAACGCCTGGCAAGTGACTCTTCTGACACCACCCCCAAGCCTCCCGGGACCTGCACAGAGCAGGCTGGGTATTTGTCCCCATCGAGGCTCTGGCTCAGAGCAGGCGGCAGACAGGAGGACAGAGGGGATAGACACGCTCTCCCACAAGCTCTCCAGCTTTTCCCATCCCAATCCTCACCGGGACTTCCACCAGAGGCGGCAGCATGAGCAGTCAGTCCACAGTCACGACTGGACTGCCCTGCCCTCGTCTGTTTCCTCAGAGCTCACCTGGAGAGCGGACAGGTTTGCTTCATGAAACTGTGGTTGTAAACCCATGTCTGAGGTTCTAATACCATCTCTGCCTGTCCCCCACCCCCCAACCGGGGATTGGTTTCCTGAGCGATCCATTCAATAATTTAACAAATATCTGAGTGCTTACTCTGCGCCAGGCAGAGCTTACAAACCTCAATCTACCTGGAGAGCAGTGACTTGTCTCAGACTCGCTGGGAGACTCCAAGCCTTTATGGGGTTTGCTCTCTCTCTCTCTCTCTGTCCACAGGAGACAAAGGTACTTGGAGGAACATCTCTGTCCATCAATATAAGTAGCAGGTGAACTGAAGTGCTTCTGCATTTAGGGGACTAAAAGGATTCATTCAGATGTCAAACAGAAACACCCACTGGAAAAACCTGTCCCTCAGTGACATACTAGCTGAGGGAGGTGAGCCGTGCCAGCTCTTACCTAGAAACTGAGGAGTGATTAAAGTGCTTGGCTGGAGGCCCAACAGGTCAGCAGCCGGAGCCCACCTGGAGCTTCATGGAGGAAGCTCTTCAGTCTGCTTCTCTGAGATCACAGTCTCCCTCAGGTCCACAGGGCCACTATGAGGTGGAATCGACTGGGCAGCAGTGGGTTTCCTGGCAGAAGCAGCCCGGGGGCATAGTGGTTAAGCACCTGGTTGCTGGGTGCTCACCAGAAAGTTGCCAGTTCAAACCCACCAGCCGTTTTGGAGAAAGAGGTGGCAGTTGGCTTCAATAAAAATTTCTAACCTTGTAAATCCCAAGGGTTCAGCTCTATTGTCTGCCCTACAGGGCTGCTATGAGTTGGCATCAACTTGATGGCAGTAGGTTCAGTTTTCCTCAGCAGACCAGCTGTTCACACGTGTTAAACATTAATTATAATGGTTACTCATTACATAACAAAGAGCTCTTAGTAGCAACACAATTGTTAATTTCCTTACAGGCCTAAGACATTCTGGGAAGCTATGCAGGGGGCAAAAAGCATCATGGGAGCGAGTGGAGCCAAGAGTGAGGAGAAGGGACGGAGTGGAGGCAGGGGCATGCAGCTTGGTATGTCAGGTGGGACCCAGGCCTGAGCAGCCTCCCCTCAGAGCCTTCCTTCTGCAGGGGCTGGGCCTGTTGATTCTGCCCAGAGGCTGAGTCAGTGAGGTGGGTGGGAACAGTGAATGTGGCCTGGTGTGGAGGTGGGCGGGAACAGCGAATCTGGCCCAGTGTCTTAATGAGCACATCATCAGTACTACCAGCACCACAGCATTTGGGTTCAACAGTTACAATGACAAGTCACCAGGCCAACATGGAGTGGGACCGCAGTTTTGTGCCAGTCACAAAGTCCATCTCACACGGGCTTCAGGTGAGGGCAGTGTTCAAGCCAACCCTGTCAACGCTCATGATGACCACATGGCTATGGACGGAGCAAGAGCAATGGCTTTGCCACTTTGCCTGGAGTTACGGCAGGCAAGGCACCTTCTCTGAACCTCAGTGGTGTCACCTGTGGGAGGGGAGAGACAACATCCTCGCAGGCCCTCATGGGCTAACCTTGCCTGGCCCATGTGTGGTGCCCGGTAAATGCTCCTTTCTCATCCTTCTCTCCCCTCCTTAGTCATCTCAGTAGGGTTGTTTACACTTAGTCAATGGAGTTGGCTCAGAGATGACTCACAGTGCTTAGGCAATTGACTATCTGGGCCCTTACTTTCTCTGCCCAGCTAGTCTCACTTGAAGAGACTAGAAAGGAGTCAAAAGTCCAGGGGGCTCCTGACCAACGGGAACCCTGAAGCTTATAGTCATAGGTGTCTATCCTGCCACTCTGAAACAGACACAACGTGTACAGAGTGTGGAAGAGTAGAGAGCAGGGTCCAGCCCAGCCTGGATGAGGGCGGGGAAGGGATGGGTCATGCCAGGAAGGCTTCCTGGAGATGAAGCTGGTATCACCTGAACTGACAAGTCATCTTCTCCCCTCCCTACCCCTGCCTGACACCTAACACACAGGACACTAACATCTAGTAAGTGCTGGGCCAGTAGGGCGTAAAGCCTGGCCCCTCCAGTGTGCAGCACCAGCACCAGCTGAAGGTGTTTCAAACCCGACTCCCTGCCACGAGTCCATCCCTATATAGGGAGTGGTTAGCAGCTCAACCAGTGCTTAACCCACGGCACCACTAGGGCTCCCCAGGACCTTGTTAGACATGTCAAGTTGCATGCATCAACCTCAGATGGACCAAGCCTTCTACTGTGGGGCACTTTCTCCAGGTGATCTGACGGCACCCACTGGGGTCTCTGTGTGCCGCTCTCCACAGCATGCAGGCTTCTCCACTCAGACCCAACGGGCGAGCTTCCCCAGAGCCCTCTAAAAAAAAGCCCTGTTTGCACAGTAGGTATGTGCGCTGTTCACCAAAAAGTTGGCAGTTCGATTCCACCAGCTGCTCCATGGGGAGCAACATGGCAGCTCGCCTCTGTCAAGATGATAGCCTAGAGCAGGGGTTCTCAACCTTCCTGATGCCGCGACCCTTTCATACAGTTCCTCAGGTTGTTTGTGGTGACCCCTCAGCCACATTATTTTCCTTGCTACTTCACTATAATTTTGCTACTGTTATAAATCAGGCAACCCCTGTGAGAAGGTCATTTGACCTCCAAAAGGGTCGTGACCCACAGGTTGAGAACCACTGGCCTAGGGGAAACCCCATTAGGCGGCTCGATTCTGACCTTTCAGTGGAGCTATGAGTTGGAATCCATGGGTAGCAAGGGGTCAGGCGCCCTTTAAATACCTCTTTATGCAAACACTATTCTCATGTCCACGCCCACTGAGTCAGTTCCAGCTCACAGAGACCCTACTGAGGGTCCCAGAGGCTGTAAGTCTTTAGAGAGCACACAGCCTCAACTTTCTCCCGTGGAGCAGCAGGTGAGTTTGAACTGCTAACCTTGTGACTCACAGCCCAACATCTAATAACACCCACGAGGGGACTCCATTGTCCTCACATATGTACATTTCACAAATACAAAATTAAATTGTATTTACTACAGCAAGTCTTCCTTTAACCCCAATACTAACTCTAATATGTATGGCCCTTTAGGGCCTACACAGTCTCCTTTGGTTGTCACAAAGGTACAGCTGTGGCTGCCCATTTGCAGATGGGAAAACAGCCTCCAGGACATCAAACCACCTGTCTGAGGGCCGGTGGCTGGTGGTGCGGGCCTGTGAACTTGGGATTGCCCAACCCCTCCCACTGCCTTGTTGGTTCCCACAACGCTAGACGCTGTCCTAAGCTTTCTAGGACATGGAAACCCACCTGGGAGCCAGTGTGGCAGGCAGACAAACCCACAAAATAACTTTGCCGAGCACAGCTTGAGTCATCTATCTGTCATCTCCACTGAGGCAGGCTGTCACTGGCTGAGCCCAGGACATTGCTGGAAAGTAATTCCACTGCAGAGAAATCTTCAGATGGCAAGCTGCAAATGAAATGACTGCTTCTCAGAGAGGTCTCTGGGGCCCCTATCTACACTTGCCTGCCATTTGGCTCCTCGATGAAGTGCTAGCTTACTTCTCAGAGGCAACTGCAAATAATTAAAGCGGCTGATTTAGCTTGCTCACTGGATTACAAGGAAACGCTGCACTACCCTGTGTGAGGCCTGCCTGGCTAGCTCTACGAGGTGCTTTGCAGTCACCCCCCCCCTCCCCCCCACGGGATGGTATGAGGACAGTGCTCCTCCGCCTGCTGAGTACCAGCCTAAGATGAAGAGCTGGTTTTGTGATACCTTCAGAGATGGAAAGAAACAAATGGCATGTGTCCTCCACCATGAGTTTCATCTCCTGGTATCCACCCCAGCTCCACCGCCGGCCTGGATCCGTCCCCGAAGAGACAGGCCCAGGGCTGGACAGACTCTCACCCCAGCCTCCGATGTGACTAGCGTGGCATCTGGCAGAGTAGGAGCTGGGGGGCAGGGCAAGCGGCCATTTCTAGACCCACCTGCTGGCTGTGTAATTTGTTGCTGTAAAGGCTCCCAGGGGGTGAGTCAGAGGCTGCTGGGAGCAGACTCCAGACAGCTCAGGCAGACAGGTGTCTCTCTGGGTTGACATGGTGGCAGGAAGCACACTGTCATCCATGGAGGCAGGGGGCTGCAGCCCGCCCCACGCCAACTGTACCACCTACCAGCATCTGTCCCACACTAGGCTCCACAGGCCGGAATTCTGGACCTGGGGTTGGGTGTTCCTTGTCCTGAAAATCCTTACTCTGCCGAGAACTTACAGGGTCTCGTCACCTGCTTCTCAAACCCATCACTTGCTTCTGGGCCTAGGACAGAGAGCGGGAAGACTGCCATTCTCAAGAAGCAAAGGCCTCTTCACACCCTGCAACAGCAGGAAGTGATCATCTAGTCTTCCTCAAGCTGTGGGCCCCAGAGTATGACCCAGAAGGGACCTCGCTGACCCAGCAGATGACTACTCAGAGCACAGATGAGCAAGGTGGGTGCCTTGATCAACAGTGGGATGCAGGCAGCATCTTGGAAGATGAAAAGCCTCATGAATGGAGTCACCACGGTGTTCAGAAGTCTCCCCCTTACGTCCAGCCAGCATCCAGCCCCCACCCCCACCCCCAGCTAGCCCGTCACAATCAATCTCAGACTCACACACCTCCACTGCTGGGGCATTTCTTAGGCACTATCTTCCCAGGCCACACCCAACACCTGTGACCCACCATCCCCCTTTCAAAATTCAACAACATTGACAAACTTCTCTGTCCAGGTTTCCTCACCCAGCTAGCCACGCTGAGAGGGGGTAAGGGATGAAAACCATCTTGCCAGCCAGCTGCATCTCACACAGCTGTTCCCAGGTGATGGCCCTGCACCCCAGGCTTCCAGACTTGGAAGAAAGAAGGGGAACCTGAGCGGGGGTATTACCAACAGGCACTTGACTTCGGAGGATGGGGCTGAGGCCAAGCCACACACTGCCTTACTTCCCCCACCAGGCCAACAGCTTGTGTCTCCCACACATGCATACATTCCAGTCCAGGACTGCCCCACAGGGTTTCCGAGGTGGTGATCCTCAGAGGAACTGATCATGGGTCTTGAAGAGCAGATGGTGGGTTCAAACTGCCCGCCTCTGGATGAGTAGCTGAATGCTCAGCCATTGTACCCACCACCAAGGTACCTTCCACCTCCTCTCTGGGGAGAGGAATGAACAAGGGTGCGCTGGCTTGTGCCCAGCAAACTGTCACCGAATCTGTGATCATGGCAGAAGCCTGGTGACCTCAGTCCCTCCGTCCCTGACTGTGTTATCAGTGTCGCATGATGCTGAATCTACATCAGACTTGCAGTGACACTGGTGACAGCAGCTCTGTCACCACCTGTGGCCATGTCCAAAACAGACCCGTGGGCTCAGAAATTCATTCTCAGGCGAGGCTACTCCAGACCTTCTGAAACCACACTCGGGCAAGAGCAGGCAAGTCCGGGCCGAGTGCCTGTGAGGGGATGATGGCCTGGGGGTGAGTGTCTCAATGGAACACACATGACCAGGGAGCTTGTTAACGGGAATTTGGACTCTGGGTCAGAACATTTAAAGGCCCTACATTTCTAAACTGCTCTGGAGGGGCCGTGGGCGCTGCCCAGGGACCAGCCTCTCACAGCAAGGCACCAGCTCTGACCAGTGGGTCCTTCTGTCACAGGTCCTGGTGTGTGCTGAGAGGAAGCTCTCTGGAGCACCTCATCCCACACCCATAGCCTTTCATCAGCCCTCGCAGGGCCCAGGCTTGGTTTCCCTTAGGTGTCGGGAGGGGCAGTGTAAAATGCATGGGCGAGGCTTGGGGTTACCAAGGACCTTCACCCACATGACTGCTCGTTTCTGGCTCTTGGCCAGGCGCTGAGGACATGGGCAGAGAAGGTACCTCCCCCCAAGAATCTCACAGCCTAGCAGGCAAGAGACCAATACCTACAAAGCAAACTCTGGTGTGGTGTGAGGAACAGTCTTCCAGGGACGAGTACAGGAAGCCCAATGGGCCCTGCGAGGATACAAGGGAGCCTAAGGAGGCAGTTCGATTCTGTCACACAGGGCTGCTGTGAGCAGGAGTTGATTGCACGGCCCCCAACTACACAGCTGGACAATAATGGCAACCCCTGGACTTGGTCTTGAGGGCTGGGATGTGCTGTGCCCACTGCCCTGACCCAGGGTCAGCAGAGAGTGGGCCCCTGCCCTGGGCGCCTTACCTGCCAGGGCGGGGATGGTGACTCGGTTCCATTCCCAGGGCTGGTCGTACTCGTCTGCAGGCCTGTCGTCGTCTTGGGGGAGCTTGCTCTCGCGCAGGCGGGGGCTGACCGTGCTCTCCGAGTCTGAGTCGACGCTCTGGCCTTCTGGTTCATAAGGGGTGTCATACAGTTGGATGCCTCTGTGCTGGGAGCGGACGCTTTCCTGCCTTTGGAACTCTGCGAGCAAACAGGGAGGAAGCAGGGACGTCAGGGATGTGAGGCACACACTGTGGACCTCTGTCGGCGACCCCACCAGAGCTCAGAGCCCACCTGCCGTTCACAGAGGTGAGATCAGGTCTCTGGGAGGTACTGTCCAGCCCTCGCCAGCTGGCTTCTCACACATTGCAAGCACTGCCTTCTCCTGCCCGTCAAGCCCATCCAGTCTCCAAGACACCTTCCAGGTGAGGCGGGAGACTGGCCAGGACATATAGAGCCCTCGCTCCTTGCTGCCCAGACCGTGGAGTCTGTCCTCTCTACACCTCACTCATTCCCATCTGTAACAGGAGGAGACTGGGCCAAACAAACCTCGAGCTCCCACCCACTCACAGAATCAATGAAAAGAACCAAAAGCAAGGAGCTCCCAGAGCATCCAAGGGTGCCACTCCCCCC